AGGCTAACTGCTGGAAATCGCGGGACGAGGTCCAGATGCATCTCTTTGGTGAGAGCGAGGTGCAAAATTACGATATCCTGGCTATCCAGGAACCCTACATCAACAAACATACCGACCCACTAACAACATACTCACTAGCGCTCAAGGGCAGCTTCCATATCCTACTGCAGCCCACACCCAAGGAAGAATACAAGAAACGCCCACGAGTCTGTTTCTACGTCAATAGAGGGCTAGATCCAGCCACATGGGAGGTCCAATACCATAATAGAGATCTGAGCACATTGACACTTCATACAGCCGCCCATGGAACCATCCATATTCACAATGTATACAATCCAGGAGTCAATAGCAACGAGGAATCTGTAATTAGCGCCCTGCAAACCGCCATGGCACCTAGGGCGCAGCATATTGTATTGGGGGACTTCAACCGACATCACCCGCTGTGGGCGGGCCCGCGGTACCGACACGTTGACGAGGAGGCCACCGAATTGATTAATCTTATGGATGAGCATGGGCTCGAGCAGCTCTTGCCACCAGGCACGATCACGTACGAGAGGGTTAACGCCAAATCTACAATTGATCTGGTGTGGGCATCGCACAATCTAGCCAACCGGGTAGTGAGCTGCGACACCAAGCCAGAGTGGTGGTACGGAGCAGATCATGTCCCAATCTCCACTCAATTTGACCTTACAGCTATACGTGTTCCTCCATTGGTTCGCAAGCAGTGGAATGCAACAGATTGGGACCTCTCCTTAAACTGATGGACATATACAATTGGCACCCAAGGGAGCTCAATGATAATGAGGCGATCAATGAGGCGATCCGCTATCTAGTTGAGGCAATCAATCAGGCAGCTGAGCAAGCGACACCTACAAAACAGATCAGCATCTACTCACGAGCGGGCTACACCCCAGAGATGGCGAAGCTTAAACACCACGTATCTAGGTGTAGACGACACGCACGTCGTATAAATACAGATCAGGCATGGGAGGACTACGCAGAGGCTAGGAAAGAGATGAAACGGCGCACCAATGAGCTCGCACGAGATCTACATCGCCAACGAATTGAGCAGGCAACAGAGTCAATAGATGGATTCTGGAGAATTGCCCGTTGGGTCCGCAATAGGGGCAAACCACGTGCCACGTTTACCCCAACGTTACACTACAATAACACGAGTTACACAGCCCCAAAGGAGAAAGCAGCCCTATTCCGAGAGGTCCTCCACCCAGAGCCCCCGGAGGCAGATCTGTCAGATATTGGGCCACAATATAGATATCCCAAACCGTATACGATGCCACCAATCACGTTAGACGAAGTCCGAATGGCAGTAACCAACGTGAAGCCCGACAAAGCACCAGGGCCAGATGGAATCCCCAATCTGGTCCTACAAAGGCTGCTCCCTACTATCGAGGCCTATCTCGTTAATCTCTTTAATGCATGTCTACGTCAACAATACTGCCCTGACCATTTCCGAAAGTCGACAACAGTCATCCTTCGCAAGCCTGGAAAGCCTGATTACTCTGATCCAAAGGCGTACCGCCCAATAGCGTTACTGAGCACGATTGGCAAAGCACTAGAATCAGTGTTAGCCAGACGTCTCAGCTATCTAGTGGAGCAATATAATCTTTTACCAAAGCAACATATTGGAGGACGTCGCGGCCGCTCATGCGAACTAGCAATCCATCTCTTACTAGAAGAGACCCATAGTGCGTGGAGAGAGGGCTCACGAGTAGCCTCAGGGCTTGCACTTGACGCGGCAGGGGCTTTTGACAACGTCAATCATATAAGGCTGATACACGACCTACGAAAGCGCCAGGTGCCAGATGACCTGATTGGCTGGATTGAGAGCTTTCTAAGCAATCGCCGCACGTCAATCACACTCCTAGAGGGCAATATGGGGGAATTTCTAGTCAATACAGGCATTCCGCAGGGCTCCCCATTGTCACCAATCCTATTCCTATTCTTTAATGCAGATCTTATTGAGCAGATACTCGCCGAGTGCCCGGACGTGATTGTACTTGGATATATTGACGACATCTTCATCATGACATATGGGACCTCCGCCGCAGCCAACTGCCACACACTCACCAAAGTACACCAGGTTGCAGAGCGCTGGGAGAGGACACATGCCTCTAAATTTGCGCCTGCCAAATATCAACTTACCCACTTTTGGCGGAAGCACCAAATGGTGCCTAAGCCGAGTGGTAGGCTGGATGTACCTCTCATAATCAAGGGAGTAGAAATTAAGCCTACGGACTCAATCAAATATCTAGGAGTTTATCTGGATACCCACCTCACTGGGGAAGTGCACGTACAGGAGATGAGAAAGAAGGCTGCAAAACTGGTGGCGGGATTAAGCTCAATCGCAGGATCGACATGGGGAACGCCCCTGGTTCATCTAAGGAAGATATACACGGCTGTCCTCCAACCACAGATCATGTACGCGTGCTCCACGTGGTATATACGAGGTGGAAGAGGGTTCACCGGTGCGCAGCGAGCTGCAGAGCAAGCCATCCGATCGATCCAGGATCAGGCTCTTCACCAGATATCCGGCGCGTTCAAACGTACGTCACGACAGGCCCTAGAGGTCTGTCTCCATGTACCACCTGCAGAGCTCACGCTCGCAAAGCTGGCTGAGGAGGCCTGCCTGCGGATCATGACCTCACCACTTCGATCTACGCTTTACCAAATACGTGGCCAAGCCCACTGTAACGACCCATACACGTCGCCACTTCATCGATTGGAAACAGCCATCGACCGCAAACTGGGGAGTGATACTAGCCAACGCATCGAGACAATCTACCCCTTTGTAGTGCCACCGTGGTGGGAGCCACCAGAAGCAAGGATTGACGATACCCGTGAGGAGGCTATCAAGGCTATTGAAGCAATCTCAGGAACAGATACAACAATACAGTTCTTTACCGATGGGAGCGGCTTTGACAATGGGATTGGGGCAGCGGTCTACTCATCAATAGGACAGGCTTATAAGCCAGTAGGCTCATCTGACACACATACTGTTTATGCAGGGGAACTGGAGGGAATCGATGCGGCATTGGAAATCCTACTCCGAAGCCAGCCATGCGACGACAACCCACACGAAGCCACAATCTACACAGATAATCAAGCCGCAATACGCGCCACGTGCCAGCCAGGGCGGTCCTCTGGGCAGTATATCCTTCGACGGATCGTACGACACCTGGGCCTCCTACGCGACAACCGATCTCGATGGCGTGTACGACTACAGTGGGTGCCAGGCCACGAAGGGGTCCCAGGCAACGAGAAAGCAGACCAGCTGGCAAAGTTGGCTGCAGTCGAGGCGACACGGCGTACACAGGAGAACGCCCACATAGCCAGGATCAGCGCACCCAATCAGACTACACCACACGCCGCACGAATGTCGTATATTCCAAATCAGTCAACTATCCTTATGGCAGTGTGTCGCCAGAGGCTACATGCAGGCTTTGCAAAGAGGTGGAAGGAACAGTGGGAGCATGCCAACCATGGACGGCATCTCTATCGGATAATCAAAGCACCAACAAAGATGGTGTTGCAGCTGCACGAGGGATTACGACGGGCTTGGAGTTCAGTGTTAATCCAACTACAAACAGGTAAATCAGCGCTACGCAGCTTCCTAGCGAGTGTACGGATTGAAGACTCACCTCAATGCGAATGTGGCCTTGGGGATCAGGATACGGCCCACGTCCTCATACGGTGTCCTACCCATATAAACCTGCGTATGGAGACTCTCTGGAAAGAAGCACGCGAAACAGATTATCGGAAGCTCCTTAGCGAACCTCAGTGGGTTCGGCAGAGTATTGAATTTATAATGCGGACTGGTCTATTGACGCAGTTCCATCACGTAACCCCCTTAACAACCACGCGCTCACAGTGAGTGCGACACTACCCTGATGAAGAGTAACCATGTTGATTCGGCTTGGACGGATCAGCCACTTGACACGTTTGGAAATAGAACCGGGCACCAAAACATAAATATCACGTCACCCCGCACCGAGATCCTTCACTCATTTTGTATATATACACATTTCCTTTGTTGGTTCGGCGTTCTGTTCGCTCGTTATCTGTTGTTGGTGGTCTTCGGATCTGGATACGGATACGTGTCGAGACTTTCGCGTGGAGTTGACTAAGTCAGCGTCAAGCCGGAAGCGTCTTGGCACGTTGACGTTGATTTATGCTTTTATACGGTAGTACGCCCGCTGCCCAATTAGAAGGCGCCGCCGGCCACTAGGCTTAGATGCGTGTATGAATCAATCAATCAATCAATCAATCAATCAATCATTACTTGAGGTTTGCTACCTTAAGATTTCGAATTGAGAAAAGGGTTATGTAGCGTGAAGTGGAGTCTCCATGTTCTTCACGGTCGTCTCCCAGAGGTGGCCTCAGGATTACAATATGGGTGGATAGAAGGACTCCGAGGTTTGGCTTACCAATTGCATTTTGACGTTGAATGTGACGGCTGGTGCTGAGGCTATACAGAAGATGGTGAGATTTGCTGACTTAGAGGTCCGGACAGAGATCACGTGATTAAGGTTGGGTGTTGGAACGCAATACGCTATCCCTAATTGGGAATCCATCATACTACTAACATGAAGAAATTTCGAGAACTAGGTTCACATACTGACGAGATATAGACATCCAATCAGCTCTATATGGCTATATCTAGAAGGTTCGACTGGATGTCATCTCATGATCTAGTTTGTACAGGACCTCACATATAAAAGAGGTCAACATTCCTGACAAGTTTTGTATTAGAGAGTGTGCATCAATACATAGAAATTCTCAACTCTAACTTCTTATTATTGTCGGATTGGTCGGTTTATTCCAGGCCAATCCTGAAGAGTGTTTTTCTAGGATCAAAGAAAAGAAGTGACTAGCAAGATTGTATGTCTTTTGTTCTGTGTCTGTCTTTCAAGTCTTTAAAGCCGGGTCCTTTATAGACACCTTTGGCGGGGTGATTTGTGAGCTATCAGGAGGGGTAAATATTGGGCTGAAATCTAGGTGCCCAGATATATGCCTAAAGGTGCCTTTTAGACCTGTAAGATTGAACAGTCGATCTTTCTGCCTCGTTTGAAAGCCGGATTATCTGACAAGAACTAGGGGGATGCGGGTGGTGAGGTGTAGTTGTTGGATTAGCTAAGCTGATTCAACCAATCAGATAGAGGAGATTTGTCAGCCAATAATAGCGAGCCACACACTGATCCACCGAATAGGGGGTAAAAGATATCTTCCACCTTGACTGTACTTAGACACAAGAACAAGAACAACAAGGATCAAGGATTCACACATCTTGTGCATACATAATTTGATACGTTGAGATAAACCGCTAGAGATTGTTTCATACAATCTAACAGTAGTTATCCTTTGTACGTTATAGCGCACGGATAAACTATATCCCATTCCCGCGCCGAGATAGGCAAGATTGCTATACCGACATTTCTGTTTAGTCACAAAAATGTATGGTCTTCATCGAACTACGCTCTCAAGAAGATACTAAGGCGTTGCGAGCTCAAAAGAGGCACATTACGATAATCAACGATTGCTCAACGACGACCAATCCAGAAAGCTTATACAATTGTCGGTTTATCTACGTCTAGGTCGCTAGCACTAGTCACGTAGAACAGCTATTCCGACGAGCTGACGAGCCTGATCAATATGGTATGGAATTCCTGATATTGATGACTGCCCCCCAAGAGTAAGGGGAACGGGGGATAACTAGCTACATATAAACGCGGCACGCACGTGCCGCGTTGGACTAACTGATATCCAGTACCGAAACGCGCTAGGTTTGATATTCACGTTCCGACAAAAGCCTTTAGTGAAGCTATTCCCAAGATGTGAAACTCATAGAACAAATATCCTCAGAGGTGTCCTTGGTGTCGTAAACCCTCACCGCCTTTGCCTGCTTGGCGGTGTCGCTGCCCAAGACAGACCTTGGGGTTGGAACCGTGACATGGGCAAGCCCTTGTTCTCAGGGCTTACAGCGCAATTGAGAAACTAGCCTCAAGAGGCCAACCAGTGACAATACAGTGGGTTCCAGACCACTCAGGAATCAAGGGAAATGAACAGGCAGATCAAGCAGCGATATCACCATCATTGCAAGGTGTCTTTGTCTCTGAAACATATGCTGATTGAACATACATTGAACCAGTTCCCCTGGAGCTAGAATCGATTGCTATTAAGCTGCAAAGGTAGTGATTTGGCACCCCTTGGATATCATCATGGCTGATCAGACACCATTCCGTGAAGGCCTTGTCTCGCCTTTCAAGTAAATACCGCATCAGTCATCCATCAAGGTGATTTTAATCGTATCATTAATCAGTTATCACTAATGCGGTGTAGGAAGCTTACAACCAGTTCCCACAGAGACGTCGACGTCTTAGAGTTAGCAATCAATATAGAGAATTGGCCAAATGGAACGTCAGAGTAGAGTACGTTCTCAATGTTGAACGCCTCAGTTGCAGGAGCTGTGAACTTGTGGTAGAATGGTGGCGCTATCCCAAATTCAATACGTGAGATACCTTCTTAATTTTATCTCGATCTGTGTTATATCAATTGCTACATTTTTTAATTAGTTGAGTCACTGTTTAAGGACATATGATAAAATTGTGCACGCTTCGTAGACACTGTTGTCAGATAACCAGGATATCCAGCGATGTAGAAGATAGGCTATTTGATCAGGTCATCTAGTCACCTCAAGCTACCTACACTTCAGCAAATAAGGAGTCATCTTCTTATCAGGGCTCGATACAGCCCTCAAAGTTTACCCCTCATGATAGCTCACAAATGACCCTGCCAAAAGTGTCTATAAAAGATCCAGCATTGAACCTGATGTATTAGAGAAGCAGAGAACTCAATACATACAATCTTGCTAGTTACTTATTTTCTTTAGATCCCAGTAAAACTCTCTTCAGGATTGGCCTAGAATAAACCTACCAATCCGACAACCATCTTGAGTGAGACCTAATGATGGAAATCACCACCATCTTCTAGCGGACCTTCCCAAAATAGTTTAGCGTGGTTTGAGCAGTGCCTTAGTCATCATTATAGGGTTAGGGCAACGGGGCACTACACGCACATGATATCAGGCCAGGGATAGCCTTTTCCTTCTCTCTACCTCTCTCATTTCCGTTATCCCACTACATACCCTGCGGTGAGTTGTGATTGATTATGGCCTAGTTCTGTTTGACTAACCGTGATTTAGCGCCCCTGAACTCAGACAATCCAGTGACAATACTCAACTCTAACAGAACACTGACCGTGGGATGTCTATCACTTCACCCTCTTCTTACCGTCTTGGAGATGAAAATATGTTGGGAATATCACCTCACATCACATATCACCTTTGCCAGCTATTTACATCCATACTAGATCATCTAGTATGCGCGCAGCTTTTTGGTCTAGTTGGTCAAAAGCCCAACAAAATATTGCCGAGGAACGCCGCCTGCGCGCAGTGATGGTGCAACACCCGCCTTAAATACCGTATTATGGTGTGTATGTGTGTCAAGCTAGTGGCCAAGCTGGAGGTGAGCCAACTCCTGTATTCTCTCTAGAGCCACACTGACCTCAAACTAGATCCTGCACAGCCCACGAGACACTGGGAACCGAGCGGCCTAATTAACCCAATCTATAAGGGTAAACATCGTCAGCGGGCTGTATCCAAAAAGGCGAAGGCCATACGAGCAAAGGTCCAAGAGGGACTGGACAGCGTTTCTGATTAGCATACCGCTTTAAATGATTAAATCCAGGAGCTGAAAGGGGAGCTAAAAAAGGATTTCAGCGATCTAGACCAATTGTTTGCCTCTCTTACTATGCACTAGATCCACATTGAGGACGATATTACTAGGGAGTATGGTTATGAACAAGCAGATGATGACAAGTTGAAGATTCTTAGTTTAGCATACACAGACGCAGAGGAGCAGTGGTATCGCTTATATTCAGAGATATAGGACAGATCACGCGCAATGGTTTGGTGCTCCTCTATTAAGGACACAACATCCGTTCTTGATATCCATCCAATTTAATGACGGAGGGGCTTGTATCTTCTTCATAGAACTACATTGATTGATTGATTGATTGATTGATTGATTCATACACGCATCTAAGCCTAGTGGCAGGCGGCGCCTTCTAATTGGGCAGCGGGCGTACTACCGTATAAAAGCATAAATCAACGTCAACGTGCCAAGACGCTTCCGGCTTAGCGCTGACTTAGTCAACTCCACGCGAAAGTCTCGACACGTATCCGTATCCAGATCCGAAGACCACCAACAACAGATAACGAGCGAAGAGAACGCCGAACCAACAAAGGAAATGTGTATATATACAAAAAGAGTGAAGGATCTCGGTGCGGGGTGACGTGATATTTATGTTTTGGTTCCCGGTTCTATTTCTAAACGTGTCAAGTGGCTGATCCGTCCGAGCCGAATCAACGTGGTTACTCTTCATCAGGGTAGTGTCGCACTCACTATGAGCGCGTGGTTGTTAAGGGGGTTACGTGATGGAACTGCGTCAATAGACCAGTCCACATCATAAATTCAATACTCTGCTGAACCCACTGAGGTTCGCTAAGGAGCTTCCGATAATCTGTTTCGCGTGCTTCTTTCCAGAGAGTCTCCATACGCAGGTTTATATGGGTAGGACACCGTATGAGGACGTGGGCCATATCCTGATCCCCAAGGCCACATTCGCATTGAGGTGAGTCTTCAATCCATACACTCGCTAGAAAGCTGCGTAGCACTGATTTACCTAGACCTCTGCAAGTCCCATGGGACTAGTAAAAAGTCCCGCCCGTCCATGGGAGTCCCATGGGATTCCCATGGGACTCCCAAGGCTACCAACTTTCTGCCTGAATTTGCATAAACCTGTGGGGCATTACCTGTTTCGGCCGCATAAAGTGCTGACTAACTCCCGGCATTAGCTGTTATTTACATATGTATTATACCCGTAACATATCTCATATTCTAAACACTCAAATCAGAGTGAGCGGAGTATGCAGAGTTACGACTCACGAGTGAGCACAATGGCACATAGACTTACAGAGTGCTAAGTGATAGAGCACTCAGCACTGAGCAGATAGAGTATACAGCACGCACAGAGTACAGACTCTAGAGCGCACAGAGTAGATGGGGTACACCGTACACCGAGTAGAACTTCGATAGCCAATTGATTTAGCTCTAGATTCCAGCTAGTCCTTCTAGAAATATATATATCCAGTATACAACTCTCACGGAAATATATCATCAATGTATTCTTGTCAGTCTTTGCGCTAAATGGATCCTAAAGAATCTATAGTACGATTGTTTAAAGCTGCCAGAATCTTAAATTGCTACTCTGACAGTCTCTAGTCATAGTAAAGCTACAATAATGTTGTTTTTTGTTCATAGGATAACCACTAAAATTGATAAAAATCTGACTTTCTTCCCGGGGGATTGTCTAGACCCTGTATTGATGGGACTTGGGACTCCTATAGGATTTCCATGGGACTCCCACGGGACTCCCGTGGGAGTTATTAGTATGAGCCAATGAATACAGTGTATCACATAGTCAAGTGAATCATAACAACACGTCTGACGTGTTGCCCCTAACGCTAATACTAAAGAGTGAAGAGTCAAGACTTAGAGCTAGTTGATGAAAGCCATAGTATATACATATAAGATTCAGAGTCAGAGATTTAAAAACTATTTGATTTATTATGTAGGTGATGCTTTACCTAGAGCAGTACCAGCAGTCTGCCTCAAACTCACAATGTCTCAACTTTCTTGATTTTCAGATGCCGGTCCCTCGTCATTTCTTGGGAGTAATATTCCTGACAATTTTACATCATATTCTATGACAACGCCCGCTACCTCTCTTGCACAAGATTAACTAGCAATCTCCTTTAAGTCCTTTCTATCTACGACCGACACAGGCCCTCCTATTCCCGAATTGTTACAACTGGTAGGGCCTGATAGAAGAAAGTCCTGGGTTCTTTAATCTGAAATGAATAAGGATGATTTTATCAGTTAGTGGATGGGGATATAATTTCTAAAGTGCTATCTAAACAAAAAAATCAATTGGGAGGCCAAAAAACAGTCATCATGCTAGAACAATTATAACCAGGTAGCTAATCATCTAATAGAAAACCCTCAAGTCATGTGTAAACGATGCAGGAAGATCCTTCCTCATCCACAGAAGACATCAAATGGTACAAATTCTATAAAACGACATTTAAGTAGAGCAAAGTGTGTGAAAGCAGCATTTGATACTACTCAGCAACAGAACATCTAAGAATCCCTCTAATTTGCAGTAAATAATCTGACTTCTACTTGATTTCATGATGCTGATTTACACTATCATAGGCTCATCGACCAACCAAGACAATAAAAGTATTCAATGACGAAGATTAGACTCAAACTCAAATTAAACTGATTGCGAATTCACACCTCCTATTTTAATTTCTCGCACACAAAGGCCTTATCAATCTGATTCAATATACCCGTCTGGCTCCCACTATGCTGAATCTACTCTTGCCAACTACCGCTTGGCGTCAGCTTGGACTTCAAGTCAAGAGGAGACAAGCAGAAATTCTGTCCTATCTCCCACCTGGTGCAAAGATCTTAGTAGCTCTTGATTGTTGGACTTCACCTTTCCAGCAAGCATTTATGGCAATAACTGGATATTTTATCGATAAGAATTGGCAGTATTGTGAGATTCTTCTAGGGTTTGAGCCTCTCTATGATTGGCATACCAGTATAAATCTTAGTGCGGTTTTATTAGAGACACTTCAGCAACATGACTTAGTTGACCGTGTACTAGCATTGACAACTGACAATGCTTCGAATAACAAAACCCTACTATGGGTGTTCAATGACGCAATCGAGTCCCTAGATATCCTAGAGGAGCTTTGTCTTGTACGTATACCCTGTCTGGCTCATGTTATCTAACTTAGTCTCAAGGACTTGTTATGCCTTATGAAAGTGAATCCAAAAAATAATAATCTGGACCGAGCCTAGTCAGATGAAGAAGCAGAGCGACTACGGCAAATCCAGAGAGAAAAGGGCATCAGTTATACACTAGCCAAAGTAAGTACAGTGTCGTGAGCCAATTTTAAATATTATCCCAAGCTATTTATCAATCTTATCTAATATATTATCTAGATACGTGGCTTGGCTGTTTTTATTAATACTAGCCCCCAAAGATGCACAGCATTCCTCAGCTTCTAAGCTAAAGAACCAAAGCTAGTACTAATACAAGATATGAGAACATGATGGAACTCTACATTCTTGATATTGCATCATGCGAAACATCTTCAAGTAATTTTTGACAGATACTATATTAAGCATAATCATACACAATTTCAACTCAATACAAAGGAATGGCGTTAGGTTAACTACTTGATCTGTATTACTCATCCCTTTTACCAGTGGACTACAGCACTTTCAAAGGTCAAAGATGTAACAGTCCATAACATCTTTTGAGTATACAATCTACTCTTCGATCACTTTGAGAGCTCAATGCGCCAGCTTCGATGGAAGCGAGTACCCTAGAAGCAAGAAATGCTTACTGCACTCAATGCTGGTATAGAAAAGCTGAAAGCTTATTATAATGATATACAGGAGATCCATAGTAATCTCTATGCGATTGGAATAATCCTTGCTCTACAGTATAAATTACAGTTCTTTTCAACATCAGAATGGGCAGATAATGATTTTGAGTGGCGCTAGATATACCATGATTTTCTAAAGGATTATCTTGAGTATTACTCTAAAGACTAGTCACAATCACAGGTCTCTTTGCTAAACATATTGTCTGCTTCAAGAGTCGATAAAATTGAAAGGCTATTTGACTGTGGGTCGCGCCGAATGACACAGACACTGGCAAAGGCTACTACAAATGAGCTCCAAGAATATCTTGATAGTGGTAAGTCTATGATTCGGTACTTCTACTATATATTAACATCTGTTATTTAGGGACTGTGAAGAAGAAACCATGTGATTTCTGGAAAGAGATAGAGGATGAGTATCCTACACTTGCTAGAGTCGCTCGGGATATTTTCTTAATTCCTACTACAGGTGCAGGAGTTGAACGACTCTTCAACTCCGCTCGAGATATCTACCACTATTAACGAGGATCTCTGAACTCTACTACAATTCAGGATCTAATGATGTTCTGGTGTATTTCCAAGTTCGATATCAAAGTGGAGGATAATAGAGAGGATATTGATATTCCACTAGAAGATCGACAGCAAAAAGATGAGGCTCAAGAGGCTGAGTTTCAAGACATTGTACCTAATCCTATTAGTAATTATGAAGAAAGTGATAGTGAGGAAAATGATAGCGAGGAAAATAATGGCGAGGAAGTGATTTAGCTAACTAAAGTAGTAGAGAAGGTAACAACAGTTTCTAACCCTACTATGATAAATAAGAAGGGTAACACGTTACCACAACCCAGTAAGCATGCACTCAGAAAGAGAAGGATAATCTTAGTAGAGAAACACACCGATGATAAAGCACTTCCAGGAACCGGCGATCAAGCATCACGAAGAGTATGGGCATGGTTAGGAAGAAAAGATGATGGCTTTGACTATTACTAATAATAGTAATATATAGCTCTACTGCTCTAGATATAAATGTTATATAACAGTTATGAATCTTGTGATTCTTGGTTGCGAACTTGCGATTCTAAGAACATAATCTACACCTACTGACTGTCCGACACTTCTGTAGACTGTAGTGAATCAATAAGTAAGAAAAGCGCGGCGGTATTACTTGTATTGATTTCATACTGTTACTTAAAAATACGGACTAGTTTGGCATAAATTATGTAAACAGCGGATTCGTCTATGTTTGCACTGTTTGCAGTCCCATGGACAGTCCCATGGAAATCCTGCCCATGGACAGCAGGGTACCGCCCGCCCATGGACACAGGCTTCAGTCCCATGGGGCGCCCATGGACGCCCATGGACAGTCCCATTGGGCCAGTCCCATGGGACTTGCAGAGGTCTAGATTTACCTATTTGTAGTTGGATTAACACTAAACTCCAAGCCCGTCATAATCCCTCGTGCAGCTGCAATACCATCTTTGTTGGTGCTTTGATTATCCAATAGAGATGCCATCCATAGTTGGCATGCTCCCACTGTTCCTTCCACCTCTTTGTAAAGCCTGCATGTAGCCTCTGGCGACACACTGCCATAAGGATAGTTGACTGATTTGGAATATACGACATTCGTGCGGCGTGTGGTGTAGTCTGATTGGGTGCGCTGATCCTGGCTATGCGGGCGTTCTCCTGTGTACGCTGTGTCGCCTCGACTGCAGCCAGCTTTGCCAGCTGGTCTGCTTTCTTGTTGCCTGGGACCCCTTCGTGGCCTGGCACCCACTGTAGTCGTACACGCCATCGAGATCGGTTGTCGCGTAGGAGGCCCAGGTGTCGTATGATCCGTCGAAGGATATTGTTAGATAACTAGGTGTCGACAGGACGATACCTCTGACCCTAATTAAGAAAGTGCACATCGCCAAAATGCCCCTTGATACCAATCAACTACAGTAGTCAAACCTGTATAGTTTCATGTTTGTGACTTGGATTCTTCGCTTTGCCTTAGCTGAAATTCCTGTTGTTATTTCCCTTACTTCTCTGAGGCCGCATTGGAATATATAAAGACATAGAATCACCCTTAATTCTTAGAAAAAGGGAGGGGGGGAATACATACAATTTTGCTTGTTAATTCTACTTCCAATATGAACACTTTCCACATAGCAAAGCTAGGAATTATTACCAAATCTGCCCCCATAGATTAGTAATAATCCAATAATTAAGAGTCTGAGTACCCCTACCGGATCTCTTTTAAAGTTATTCCCAATATGACGTCCAACTCAGCTTCAAAGTGCACACTTAACTCCCCAGCGGACTGGGATAAGTGGGATGAGGCCCTCCAAAACCTAGCCCGATCCCAAAAGCTACACAACATTCTCATGGGAATTGAAGAACCCATCTTAGAACCTGATCAGCTGTTTTATAACGACTTTGTACAACTAACTTAGCTAGACCAGGCTCCTGGAGATAGCCCTTATCAAGGAACTCGCTGCCAGACAAATCTAGCCTCCACCCAGAGAACCAACACATCTAAAGTTAAAGGAGGAACCCAAGCCTCTTCCAATACTAAAGACAGAGATAATATGAACCTAGAACATGCGGCACTCATTATAGAAGCATCACGTATACACAATGAATCGCGAGCTGAGAGACGATACAACGCAAAAATAAAAGAATACTTGTAAGTGATGCACCAATATGAAATCCAGCATAAGGATATTAAATAAACTTTTACCTGGATAAGAGACTCAGTCAGTGTAATTTATCTTGAGTCTCATGTGTCAGTTACCCACGACTGGGTAAAGGCATACAACAATCTCAAAACTGCCCTTAATCCAGGATCATGAGAGATCAAGAGATTAATTCATGAGGCATACGATCAGTATATGAAAGCCCTCACTACTAGGACCAAGGATCTAGATACCTGGATCAATAAATGGGAACAACTAATAAATAAAGGGAAAGGGAAATCCATGACCTTTGCCCTTAACAAAGAAGATTAATCAACTCACTTTATTGAGGCCATTCAATCACTTGATCCAGTATGGGTAACAATCCTTGAGCATAACATTAAGAAGAAACTAGATGACAATACACTCATATATAGAGACATGTCATGATACTTCCAACATCTAATCACTAAGATTAACAAAAGGCCATAATTAATATCTTGTGTAGCTAAGGGATTCTTTGCTACTCACCAGTAAGAAGGAGATAACATTTTAACTAAAGAAACTTAATACCGCAGCAGGCAAACAAATATATCGCCTGACCAATAAGGAAAGTCACAATCTTATTCCACAGACTATTCCTGGAAGAGAGATTATGACTCTATAAAGAATTCTAACTCCAGGTAACACTGCGCTGGATATGGAGGATTACATATAATCTAGGGTTGCTTCTACCTCTTCCCTCACCTTGCATCACTAGGATAGAATAAGCAGGATTAGCTTATAAGAAGAATCAATAGATTCCTAGAAGCAGACTCACTACTTACCTAGGAAGTAAAACGACTCCTTTTAGGAAAGAAAAGAGCCCCTCCTCGTAGATAAGATAGATCTCAGTCCCAGGAACAACCTCAGCGATAGAACTCTTGAGAACCAGCTCAAAGATGAAGAGCACCTACCCCTTATCCAAAGAAAGTATCATTTGATGACTAAATAGCAAGTCCACAGTGATGTAAGCGATTAGCAGTTAGCAGATGCAAGGCAATGTATTTTATGAAAATGGAAAAAGAACTGGCTGCCCTGTTAATCAATAATTATTCTCTAAAGCACTCTACTTTATTAGACTCCGGATCATTAATTTATGTATTTAATAAGAAAGAACGTTTTGTTAACTTTAAGAGAGCAACTCCTAGTAACTTCTTATAGGCTAGAATATACTAAGTTCTAGTACTTAGATATAGAGAAGTTAATATTAAAGTTCATAGAATTGATAGAAAGCTACAGATTCTATAGTTATATGGTGTTATATATTGCAAAGACTTTGTGGCAAATCTTATGTCTTTCCACTAGTTAAAAAAACAAGATATCTAGTGGGATACACAGAAGGGATACAACTGTCTCTGAGATGCTAAGAATAATGTTATTGCCTACATGAAAGAGAAAGAAGGTCAGTTTGTTCTTAAGTATATTGCTAATGATTATCCTATGGTGAAAGCAGGCTTTACTATACGACGTCATAAATTTAACTCCTAAATAGAGAGAAAAGAATAAACTACTGACGCTGCACGCTAGCATGCTCGTTTTAGTCATCCTGGACCTGAAGCGCTTCAACACCTATCAATATTAGCAAAAGGAGTTAGGATATCCAGATTCAATAAAGGACTGAAAACTGTGGAATGTGACTCATATGCAAGATTAAAAGCGCACTGTATTATCTAATAAGAGCCTAGAAAACTAATAGGCTGACCAGATATGGATCTTGTACTCAATTTCTATGATTTCCATAAAAGCATGATGCACAAAGAAAAGATATTGCTTCTTATCATTAACTAATACAGTGGTCTTATATAGGACTTCTATATGAATTCTTATAAAGGCACTGAAATCCTAGAAACACTGAAGTAGTTCTGGGAATACCTCAGGAAGTATTACTATATTACTCCTCTGCGTGTTGAGCTTAACAACAAGATATATAATAATTAGCAGTTAGTAAGGGACTGGCTCGTACAAGAATAACACGTCAAGCTCATACCTTCAACTGCGTATAATCAGGATCAAAATGGTGGCAGAGAATGTGCAGGACAAACAATAAAAGATAAGGAAAGAAGCATATGAGATGGAGCGAGGCTTCTACCAGACTTATAGCTAGAGATATACCGCACTAGCATATATCTCTATAATTAGAGTCCTTGCTATTTCAATAACTAGAAGATACTGTATAACACTTTTCACACCTATATTGCCCTATCGACTGGTATTTACATGCAAGATTAGAAACCTCAACTTGCTCATTTAAAGGTATATAGGTGCAAGGCGTTTGCACTTAAATTAGAATATCAGAAGAAAAACCGACTTTAACGCTTCAATGCAAGGTCATAGATAGGTTATCTTGTGGGATATAACTTAACAAATATATATAGGATTTAGAATCTGCACACTAGAAGGATTGTGCGTGCAAGGGACATTTTGTTCAATGAGAAGGTAGTTTTCAGTAGAAAGAAGAAGGATCTCAAGAATAACCTTTTGCATATAACTATCAAGAAAATCACTTAACTGCTAAATAAAGTGGACCTCAGCGCATAGCAGGATGTTTCAGGAACTAACGATAATGTTGTCACTAATATAGATAATATAATTTTTGATAATTCTAGGCACGGTGACAAAGATATTAATACAACCAGCTTAGCAATTAGTTCTGGATTAGAGGATCTCAATCAACCTGAATCTAACCCAACCGGCCCAACTCTGGTGCCAGGAGAAGGCTTGTTAGAAGGGATTAATAAATATGCTTACCCTACACCTCCAAATACATCTCCAAGTGCATTGTTGACAGGTAGCATAACTATCATTCAAGAAGATAATCTTACCTTCCTCTGTCAAAGCTCTGAGCTCAGAGCTGGCAAGTCAACTAGCAAGGCAGGTGCAACAAGTACTCTTGTCCAGGAAGCAATCTCTAGGGCAAGTATAACAAGTACTCTTGGAGATGTAGGCAAGGCTAAGACAACAAGTCCACTTGCTGAGTTCAGGGCAAGTGCAATAAGTACTCTCAATCTGCGTGACACCATGAGAAGCTCATGACACAATCATAGCAAGCTACTAATTACTGCTGCTTTAATAACGCAATGAGGAGATCTAAATCCTTGGAGAGCTGCTTTCCTTATAGACACACGTCATTGTGAACACAATATAAGAACAATCAAAGTTAAACGATCAAGTCTCAAGCGAACAGCCAGAGCAGGCAGTCAACTTTATATGTTCTTAACTAGGCAACAACTCTAGTCATACTTGGTTAAGGACCTGCCGCCTGCTCCCAAGAGCCACCATAAACTAAAGAAACACAAATTTAGAGCCAAATTCCTTGAAGCTGAGCTTACTCATCTCAGAAGTCACAATCCAGCAGGCTCTTGGACGGAAGTACCAATATTGATAGTGAAAGGAAAGTAGATTCTTGATTGTATGTGGGTTTATATCTATAAGCTAGATAAGAAAAGAAGGTTAGTCAAATGCAAAGCAAGATTGGTAGTAAGAGGAGACCAGGAGAAGAAGGACGATATAAGAGACATGTACGCGGCTACTCTTGCAAGCAGATCTTTTAGGACCCTTATAGCAATAGCTACACAATTCGATTTAGAGTTAAAATAATATAATGTGGTCAACGCTTTCGTCAACACCAAATTGGATGAGAGAATATTCATAAGAATACTACCTAGATACTATGAGAAAGGGAGAATCTATCAGCTTAATAAGGCTCTTTATGGACTGCGGAGATCACCACTTCTCTAGTAAAAGGAACTTATAGGAATTCTCATAAATTTAGGATTTAAGGCTGTTCCATATAAACCTTACTGTATGCTTAAATTAGGGATTATCTTATTCTTCTATGTTGATGATATCGTGGTAGCGTATAAGAAGGACCGCGAGGCCAAAGCCAAATCAGTTATGAAGGAACTTTGTGCCAAATATCATATAACTGGCGGAGAGGATTTGGAGTGGTTTCTAAGCATGCAAATTATACAAGATTGATCGAACAGCATTATCTGGCTCAGTCAAGCAACCTATATCAATAAAATTATCAAGTTAGCAGATTCCGATTAAGCCTGCGATACTCCCATGTCTCAAGAAGAATTACTTCCTTATGATGGCATAGCCACTTACCAAAGTCAGTATAAATATCAATACAAAGTGGGCTCAGTAATGTACACTGCAGTCAACACTAGGCCAGACATCGCCTTTGTTATATCTTGACTTGCTTGGTTTCTCATTAATCTAGAACCAAAGTATCACAAGGCAGCTGATAGAGTACTCTGGTATCTTGATCGTCACCGAACGTACGCTCTAAAGCTTGGAGGAGGAGATGACTATTTAATATCAACTGATGCTTCCTTCACAGATAACTCACTTGACTGGAAGAGCTCTTAGGCATACGTTATGATACTTTTCGGAGGATTGATTGGTTGGCAAGCAAGCAAGTAAGATATAGTAACCACGTCAACTACTGAAGCTAAATTATTAGCTCTTGCTTAGGGGGTGAAAGAAGGCAAATATGTATACTGACTGCTTGCTGAGTTGAATATTGAGCTTACCTCACTAGTACTCTAAGTACTCTGTGATAATCAATAAACTATCAGCTTACTAGAAAAGGATACACCCCGGCTACATACAAAGCTGCGACATGTCAATATACATAATTACTGGCTTCAACAAGAAGTTTAACAAGGAGCAATCAAGGTGTTATACACCCTAATAAATGACATGATTGCTAACAGTCTTACCAAAGCCCTCAGTTGACAAGAACACGTACTCTTCCTTGAATAAGTCAGCATTTAAGATATCGCCAAAAGAATCGTACCATAATAGAAGGAATTCATAGATGTGGAAATTGAGGAATTACTATTCCTGGAGGACCCTGAAGCTATATAAAGGAGACATGAAGTTATTCTAACTTTGCCTCGTAGCTCAGCTAAGGGGGTATGTTAGATAACTAGATGTCGACAGGACGATACCTCTGACCCTAATTAAGAAAGTGCACATCACCAAAATGCCCCTTAATACTAATCAACTACAGTGGTCAAACCTATATAGTTTCATGTTTGTGACTCGGATTCTTTGCTTTGCCTTAGCTGAAATTCCTGTTGTTATTTCCCTTACTTCTCTGAGGCCGCATTGGAATATATAAAGACATAGAATCACCCTCAATTCTTAGAAAAAGGGAGGGGGGGAATACATACAATTTTGCTTGTTAATTCTACTTCCAATACGAACACTTTCCACGTAGCAAAGCTAGGAATCATTGCCGAATCTGCCCCCACGGATTAGTAATAATCCAACACATCCCTCTATCCTAGTATTGGAATCTTTTGGTACTAGTCCGAACGGGGTTAGGCTCTGATAGGAGTTGTACAATTTGGGTGAGGAATACTTGACTCTGATTTGCACACTCTCTAAAAACACAGCTAGCTACGCATCTTGATCCTCTTTATATACACAATATAGTGGCAAAATAGCAATCCTGAATCCAAAAGTAGGGCTGTCGATATTGTGCCAAACCTGGGATCGGCAATTGTGTTTTTCCGGGGATTCACCGATTAGTAAGGTTGTCCAGAATGGGATTAGCGTATCAGATATCCAACATCGTGATTCTGTCACGTGATCACGACAATACATCTTGTTTGCAGATAGCCTCACATTCCTAGCTTTTTCTTTCTTTCTCCATGTTTGGTATTCTTGTACTTAGCTTCCAATATGACTATTGAATGAGCCCTTACATTCATTAAACCCCTATGGCGGGTGGTTTATATACAGCAGGGTTTGTACTTTTTAGGAAGTTGTGATCGGATGCAAAATGGTATTTCAATGTGTACGTAGATTGAACCCAAATCACTAAAACGGACTGCGGTACAAACGTAAGGAGGACAGAGGCTGAGCAGTCGCGAGAATTTTCATCAAAAGTGACCCGTAGTCCCATCCTAGTGCTGAAGCTGCGATGGCTGTAAGGCTGGCTTGGTCTTCACGTCCAGGTCGTCCAGGACCGGTCATATTCTGCAAAAGTAGAAATAAAAGTTAGTTTGTATTAGATTCAAAACCCAAAAATAACTAACCGGTTTCATGTTAATATCGAAAAGAGCGAATTCTGACCCCTCACTAAACCGTCGAGCGTCAATGCGAATGGGTGCGGTGGCACGAATAAGCCTTGCGACTTGCACACATTCGTTTATTACCTTTCCGTATGCCAAATCTCTCAGTTCACTCTCAGTAACAACCCGGGAGTTAGCTGACACGGCTACCGCGCCGTTGTAGGGGGCGACGCCGTCAGCATGGTTGAACCTGGTGACCGGTGGTAGACTCCAGTAGTCTGGCATTTCAGATGACGGAGGCATGACTGTGATGGTGGCCTCTTCGCCTGCCAGATACTCTTCGATCATAACCAATGGCGATTCCTGTAGCAGACTGAGAACATGCTCTCTCAGCTCTTCTGGGTTGTGGCAAAGTTTAACACCATGACTTCCCCGCCCACGAACTGGCTTTCCCACGACCGGGAGCTTAGTGATTGACGAAATACATTTCTCAAGAGTTGCTGGATTCGATGCCAACCATGACTGTGGGAGCGTGTAGCCACCGAGTTCTTTGAGTTTGCCATTCAAGTATGCCTTGTCATCAAATTTTTCGACCAAGGTCGGCGGTTGTCCCACGACATAGACATCAGGGACACGAGAAGAGAGCTTCTGGGAGCTTTGGAGAGGGTGGGATTTGAATAGGATAGTGTTAGCCCAAAGATGAGTAGCGCCTTTTTCCAAGGCAGACTGTATGCCTTCTTCTGTGTCGGCGAAACACCAGCCATGGTCATTGGAGGGTTTGGGAGAGATATCTGGCGTAATGCTTTCAATGCCTTTGATTCGGAGCGTGTAGGCAATGTCCGCGCCAGAATCCCGGTACCCTTAATTATTTCGCGTAAGCATCGTGCAGACAAGATTAAGCACATTGAAAACTGAATTGTACACATGAATCGCTTACCACCGGGCTTGCAAGGCTTACGAACATTCCCAATGACGGGCGGATCGATCGCCTGGAACAGGACGGCCACGCGAGGAGACTGAGTGCTGATAGCTCGGTGCGGAATGCTACCCGAGCAGACCTGGTGTAAGGCTCGCACAGCAGCACTTCGAATGAAATTACTTGCGATGAGCATGGTGTTAGTGCATACAATCAAGCAGAGCGAAATCTTCGCAGCACAGAATGGTGGAAAATCCTGAAGTCAGTATCCTCGGGAGGTGAATGGAGTGTTTTTTTGGGGGCGGGGGGAGGGCTTCGGAACGGACCCGAATCCGAAGCAAGCAAATTTCTTACTGTCGGAATGTGAATATCAAACCTAGCGCGTTTCGGCACTGGATACCAGTTAGTCCAACGCGGCACGTGCGTGCCGCGTTTATATGTAGCTAGCTATCCCCCGTCCCCCTTACTCTTGGGCACTCTTATTTCTTCGCACTCTTATTTCTTCGCACTCTACTTTATGCGCGCTCTACTTTATGCGCGCTCTACTTTATGCGCGCTCTACTTTATGCGCGCTCTACTTTATGCGCGCTCTACTTTATGCGCGCTCTACTTTATGCGCGCTCTACTTTATGCGCGCTCTACTTTATGCGCGCTCTACTTTATGCGCGCTCTCCCGCTGCGCGGCATGGATAGGGGGCTTTCGCGTTATTTAACTACGCGTATTCTCGGGTTACTCGACGCGTCGGAATCCGACGCGTAGAAGAAACCCAGGCATATAAATCTATTTAGTAGACACCATATTAAACCTCTCCACCTCAGTGGAGCAGTCTATTGAAAGATCGGCTGAGGCAACGCGAGATTCTTTCGATTACTACCGTATAGAAAGATGCCTAGGGGCTGTTCAAAAGCTAAAGTGATCGCAAGAGGGATATTGGATAGGAAAACCACCCGACACGAACCTATTCTAGGAGAGTGATAGGGCACCCTCGAGTTCAGCCAGCTCTGAGATTGAGATAGAACCCCCAACGTTATAAAATGACTAATGAAGCTATCTCAACGAGGGCGGGAACAAAGCCTAAGTGCTCTTAGAAAGTAATGGAAGTTGTTAAGGCTAACAGAAAAGTGGTTGCTGGATGTGTTAAGGGCAAGACCTACACTAAGACCAAACTACTTATCATTCTGGACAGACACAGTGCACCGCTTTCTAAGTATAAAGGTATAAGGTGGGAACTGAGCTAGGTTAGTAGGAGTTAACTATACAAGTAGTATACCAGGCAGGTATTACAAGTATTGACTTCTGCAAGACATGGTCGGCTGCTAGAGAGAGACTTCTAATAGTAACGGGAAACTACTTTATTATGGTAATAGAGTAGCGGGCCATAGCGCTATGAAGATGACCAGAGGGTAACTAGGAAGAATATGTTCCTAGCTCGTACCTAGGCCATGGCTATCTAACTAGTATTTTTGCTTCCAACTCTAATATTAGATTGGGTCTATCTATAGTTTGTACTCAGCCATGGCATAGCTCAGGGTTACGGCTAGAAAAATTTTCGGGAGCTAAGATAAATGTGGCTAGCTTCATTCATGGATCAGGGGAAATCAATTTCAAAAGTCTTTTTTATTTGTATCTCAGTGATAGTTATTTTTGAGTCAATATTTTCACTCCAACACATTCCTCTTATCCTCAATTATGTCTCATCCTTCTAATAACTCAATATCTCCTGAGTTAGGAGAGCAATTGCAGTTTTTCCCCTCCTACCTTCGTATCCTTACAAACTGGCGGGTAATTCTTTGCACTGATCATGGATCATGCTATACTCGCCATAGTCTTCCCCAACATCTTCTTCAAAAACATCATATTAAACGACCACAACGACGGGAAATCGAACAGCATCCAGACTATCAATTGATTGCAAATAACTTGGATGGAGTTATATATCCTACAGATGGAATTACCGAGATCAATGATCTGCCGACCGTACGAGGTTTTCTCTGTCATATAGAAACCTGTTCCTATCGATCTCGCAATATTGATCGTATACGACAGCATTACAACCAGGCACATGGATGGCGCAAAAGTCAAGGAATAATGCCTTGGAATCATGCACATCTTCAAACATTATTTCAGGAAAAGGAACAAATTCGTTACTTTACCGTAGTACCAGCTAATCTATTCTCCTTACCACGTGTCTCTCCATCTGTTACATCTACTCTTACTATAAATGATCTACCTTCCTTGGATACCCTCCTCCAGGAATACCACACATTTCAAACTCAGAACTCTGTGTCATATACTGTGAATGACAGTCAGCATATCTCTGAAATTACTCCATGGTTGCGAACCACTGGTATTCATGTTCACCTTACTGGATTAGATCTAGAAACGGTGGGAGATCTTTATCGACTTCCCAATCGTGATAAAACACGATTAGATCTCATCTGCGCCAGCGTGGACCGAATCTGGAGACAGACAGAACAGCTATTACATCACAACCCTGTTAGTGACATCCCACGGCTAAGTCGCTATAACGCTCGACTTCTCAATACCTTTACGCGAGGAGAGATCTCGCAGAATCCTATCCAGCCTCTCCAGAATCCTCGGAGTCGCTCTCGGTACATTCAGACCTGGCAGAGGTTGATCTGTTATTGGAGTCGAGTAATGGATGACCAGCTCCTTCCTAATCCTCTATTTCTGCCAACAGAGAGTCAGAAGTCTACCTGGGATGACGTGATCACTGCTGCTAAGAATCTAAGTCGCCAACAAGAATTAGAGCAGGATAATGATGAGGCTCTCTATCAACTCCAGCAGGAGATGGATAAACAAACCCTCGCATTTTGCCTTGAGATTATCCAACAGTCAGTCCCTTTGCGAGCCTTTAATTCTATCCTAGTCTCCTTTGCAGCGCTTCTATTCTGGATACCAGATCAGAAACAGTGGATGACAGTTAGCAACTACACCTCCTTTCTCTCACAACTGATCTATAACTGTCAGATCTGGATCCTTGCCCTTTCTATTCTAGAACAACAGAACCATCCGACTCTGGATCTTGGAGATATTATTATTAGACACCGTGATCGATGGCTACTTAATGATACCAAGGGACCCGTGGCGGAGCTACTGGAGAATCGACTGTATGCATTCCGGATTGCAATGAGTGAGGTCCCCCCTGCTCAAGTCCGATGGGATCGAGAGGGCCAAGTCATTACATTCCAAGATGTAAGCCTATCCTTGTTGGAACTCTCTCGACTGATCCGCGAGGGGATCTCTACCGCGCAGGCCATCTTCGAGCAAGAGTTATGTTTATCCGGCCCAGCACGGCCAGCTACGGAGATCCCTCAATTTGATCTTAGTAATCTGATGGATAACTGGGATGCTACACAAGCTGGTGCATCCTTTCTCACAGATTCTCGGAATCATGCCTACGTGGTACCCTATCAGGATTGGCTCTTCCGTCGAGTCAGTCAGGATGCAGTTCTGTTTCCCATCTTTTGGGAGTTGGGTGCTGATCAGACCTGGCGGATCTCACCCAAGATGGTAGAACAGTACGAAGCAACTATCCAGCGATTCCTCGAGGCTTTACTCGTCCCCTTCTTTATTGGATCTGGCCAGCAAGCGCGACGGACTGAGTTCCTAGGAATTCGATGGCGCAACACCCTCCTGCATACTCGCGATCTCTTCCTCCATGATGGTCAAATGCTCTTTATTCTGGATTATCATAAGAGTCGTCATCGCACTAATGCCTCTCGATGGCCCGCCCGGTTTCTCCTCCCAGAAGTAGGACACTTAGTCACGCAGTTTCTCATCTTGATTATGCCCTTCCGGCAGTGGCTACAGCACCAGGTGCAAACTATGCATTCTTGCGCATCCACTCCACTCTGCGACTACCTCTGGGCCTCTACGACAAAGCCTTGGTCTGATAATCATCTTACGCAGACCGTGATCCGTACTGGGGAGCAGATCCTTGGTAAGAAGATTCATATTCGAGCCTGGCGCCAGATCACTGTTGGGATTGCCATTAAGAAGTTTAGAACTCTCGCGTCACAGTTTGTTGAGGATTCTCTTGATGATGAAGATAACCTTATAGAGGATCACAATGGCAGTATGGCTGCAGTATTCCACTATCAGGCTGCACATACACCTCATACTGGGAATCAGATCTATGGAGGGACGGTCAATTTTCGAGCCGGTCTCACTGATGCTGGCCTTCAAGAATTCCGCCAAGCTAGCGAGATCTGGCATCAATTAATCAAACAGCCCTCGCAGTACTCTACACCTAGCTTATTAAAAAGACGACTGCCTGCTGTATTCACTCAGTCCTCGCAACCAGCCAACGTCAATATAGAGTGGGAATCAGATGAGAATCGTTCCAAGCGAGTGCGGAGTGAGGCAACTGAGTCCACACTAGTTCAACGATTTCATCGTTGCCACGAACCACGACAGAGTCAACAGCGCTGGACTATGGAGCAGGCGCAGATAATTCTAAAGCGCATGTATGGACTAGAAGCGCAGTATCGAACCAGTAATCAGCAACAAGCCTTGCAGTATATCATCCAGGGTTTGAGTCAAGTGGTTGCAGTCCTTCGAACAAATGAGGGCAAGAGCCTACTCTATCTTCTGCCGTGCCAGCTTCCTGGTGCACGAACCACCGTGGTAGTGCTCCCTTTATTGGTCCTCAAGCAGGACATGCTTCTTCGATGTCAGAATGCTGGAATTGAGGTAACCGTCTGGAACCAGCAGGATGAATCTAGGCACCTTGGATCGAGTCCACTGATCCTGGTAAGTGCTGAGCAGGCAGTCCATATCAACTTCCGAACGTTTCTTCTTCGGCTACAGCTTGCCAATCAACTTGATCGTGTTGTCTTTGACGAGTGTCATCTGACTCTGACGGCCTCTTCTTACCGCAAGGGACTGGCCTTGCTTCCTACGTTACGCGATATTCAGTGTCAGATGGTCTTCCTCACTGGCACACTACCACCTATCATGATGGCAGAATTTGAGCAGACCATGCTACTCTCTCAGGCACGATTGATCCGTAGCCTCACCACTCGCCGTGATCTATCCTATCAGGTCGTTTCTTGCCCTATAGATCAGGACTTCTTCAAGTTTGCGATTCCTTGGATCCAGGAAGAGCGCACCCAACTCGACTCTGAAGAGCGTGTAATCCTCTACTGCCAAACCCAGGCGATTACAGAGAAAGTGGCCACGATTCTTGCGTGTCCCTTCTACCATGCGGATTCTG